TTATACGTAAAAGTTAAGTTTTACTTTGCTAATTTCTTATAGCAAATTCGTTAAAGTTTTCATTTTTTATACATGTATTTTCATGAGCATAGTTAAGATCTTATTTTTTTTTAAATTAGTTCATTAATTTTGTAAATTATAATTTATATTTTAAAACTAAGTTTAATTTTAATTTTATAATTATTTTTATTAAATTGGTACAAAATTTTTTAAATAAAACCCATATTACTTTTCCTGATTTGGTTTGTTTTGATTTTTATATATTTTAGGATTTAAGAATTTCTCACTGAAGCTAGACCAAAAAAGATAAACTCGGTTTAATATTATATTATTTTTGTTATCTTCAGTTGAGTTTATTTTTTAAGTTTTATATGAATAATATTTGATGTACCTGCTGGACAGAAACACCAACTATTTTTAACCAACTCAATATGAATTAAGTTAACTTTTAAAATTAACTTTCCTATATCATCATTGCTCTATGCATACCTTTCCCACGTGATCTCATTTTTTGGTGATCTTCACTTATCAGCAACCAAATATTTACTTCCTAAACTAAAGTGATAACCTTAACTTTGCCCATCAATATCGGTAAATTCAGTCCAAGCATAAATTCTGGATGTCGTAATCCTTTTTTGCACATGCCAAGGCTCTTGCAATTTGTTCATGCGATAAAGATAAAGCAATTACTGCATACCAATGGATCGTCTCCAACTTCGACCATCGACAATCTAATATGCTTTTTGTAAAAAAATATAGTCAACGCCTGTTCAAGCAATACCTTTTTACGTAGCACACAGATGGACCATTTAATGATATCAAAATGTATTTGTCGAGCAACTTCTTCATATCATGGATATATCGACTACATCGAATATGAATATGGGCTAACACAACCCTTCATACAGATGCAGTTTTAGGCTCAGATAGGCCGAAACTTAAAAGAAAGACCAACTCAAAAACCACATTTAAGGAAAATTTTATTTCAATATCTCTACTGGTTCAGAAAGTACAGAATTTTGATCAGCTAACTTCTGTTTTGTCGCACTGTGCCACGATTGCACAGCAACAAAGTTGTCAATAGACCCCCGCCTAACATTTCTCAGACAAAACGACGCATTCCAAGTACAGGAAAAAGGATGAGGATGTACTAATGTGCTAAACTTTTCAATCTCAACCATAAATGCTTCAATTCCCAATGTGTGTCCTAACTGCAGCTCCTAATGCACGGACAAACTTGAGTCCAATCGATCTTTGAACCCTCTCCATTTAAGTGGCGAGGTTTCTCCGCCTTGATTCTCGTTTAATTCAATTTAAATCCCCAATCCATCGTTACTCCTTAACAATCACCTCTTTTCTCACATTAACATTACTTATCCATATCCTAACCCATGTATACATCTTTGTGATTCCTTTAATATTATCTATTTTTTAGATAACAACAACCTGCGAGCTTTAACAATAACATCATTGTTCTTGTTGTGTTGTGGAGGGGGCGCGTACAGCAAAAGATCGCAGAAGAAATACAAGGGTTAGATGAGGGTTAGATGGTTCGTAAAAAAGTAGGTGAGAGGAGAAGAGACGTCCCAGCAGGAAATAGGTGTTAATGTTTCGATCGATGCCTTTATACATCAATTCAATTTATATTTTTCTGTAATCCATTATTTTTTTATTATTTTAGTTATTCTTAACCTTATCAGTAAATTTAAATTTCTTCTTTTTAATTGAAGACTTCGAACAAAACAAAAAAAAATTAGCAAAATAAACTTATTTGTGATATATTTTTTTTAATATATTTTAAAAAATATATGCATATACCTTATTAGTATATATATAACATTTAATTCTTGTACCTAGATAACGTAGACTTAGAATGCAATTCGAATTGAATTCACAAAGCAATATTCATCAAGCAATCACTAAAAAGTTTAGTAAATAAGTCCTTATAAAAAAAAAACAAAAAACGAAAAGCAATCAATTATGTAAAATGTTTTTAAAAACGTTTTTAATAGTAAATATAATATATAAAATATATTATAAAGTAATTAAAATGTGTATTTCTTTTTTGTAATTATATTAGAAAAGCAAGTAGCATCGAAAAAGCAAGATTGGAAAAGCATCACCCTTACACTATTTCAATTAACGAATTTCAGCAATTAAATCCCTAATTGTTTATCTATTAGTTGCATATTCCACGAAAACATGTTGGAGATAATTGCTTTAAAATAGTGCAATTGCTGAGTTTACTGTGTAAACGCTTATTTTACTAAATAAAATATTCTAGTAAAGTCTAACAGATTCTAGAATCGAAATTTTATGATCTAGTAAAATTTAACAATTGTAGGGACGTACCAAATATAGAAATATAGTAGAGATTTAATAGGGAGTAAAGTAGAATTTAGTAGGAATAGTAGGGATAAGATTAGCAATGTAGACAACACTGTTATGTTTTGTTCCAATTTTTGAAAATAATACAGGAGAAACCTATGCAGGCTTACAAATAAAAACAGAATATCAATTTTCAAGCTAAATAGCATTATTGCATTTAATAGTATGAACTAATTGATTCAGAATTTCCATTGAAACTAAAACAAAATGTGTTAAGCAAGTCATTTTTAATTTGAAATTTAAAAAAAAAATGATTAATATCATTTAACATGATAATATATCAGTGTTATCTTAGCTAAATAACTAAGCCAATAAATTATGAAGTGCTATCACTAAGTCATTAAAGCTTAGTTATTAAGTTGGGTTATATCGGCGATCCTAACGAGTAACGAAAACCTGTTGGTTCATTGTGTTGCCATATAACAACAGAAAGGTTAATAAACTACATAGAATCTTTCGCAAAGCTTAAAAAACTTTTTAGGAGGTCCTGCAACTCGTTAAGATTCTCAATAAAGTTAGTTTCTAGCGTAGACAATCGGGTTATTATGGCTTAGTTGTTGTTGTATGCTGGCGTTAAGTTATTCGTATTGCCAAGATGAAACTCGCTTAGGTAAACTAGTTGGCAAATCATACACAGCAAATGTTATATAAAAACGCAATAAGCAGTGTTCTTCTGGAATTATCGCTAGGCAAAATCAATCAAAAAATGAAGCCCTAAATAAGATGAGGTATGTAAAAGAAAGGTTATTCTCTAGAATCCACATAATGATGCTATTCCGGATTTAAGTTCTAAGACTCTTAACACCTTTGATAAATATTAATAAATGTTAATAATTAATTAGATAATATATTTAAGGGTTATTGAAGCTGAATAAAAACATTTTTCATTTTACATCTTAAATTTTATATTCTTTTGAAGGTGAGAAAATGATTATTTTTAGAATTAATTTATTAATTGATTTTGTTATATAAAATATAAATTAAGTCAATTTATATCAAATGTGCACAACAGGTTAAATATAAAAAAATATGACGTTATAAGCATTTTATTAAATTGAATTTTTCATAATTACTTGTTTTTAACGTAAATCGCATATCTCGAAGTGGATGGGAAAAAAGCTTTCGAGCAGTACATTTAATGCCAGCATTACCGGTTTATCAGTTAACTGTGAAACTAAATACATTATAATTAAGTGATTATTATGTTATGTATTATAATAAATTATTCATCTATTATTTATTCAATTTATTAATGAATTAATTAATTTGATTTATACATTTTATTTTATATACTGCGCGCCGATATTATTAATTTTTGTCGATAATGATTCATTCTTGCATACAAAATTTCAAGCGCGAATGAGCCATTGCATCACACTCTGTATGAATGCGTCCCAATGATGTTTGCAAGCGTTCCAAATATGTTCCAAATGCAATGGAATACGTTGAACATACCCTAAATAAATGCTTTTCGTGGCATTATGACAGCTTGAGAAAGCTGTTTTTGACATATTTACAAAAAAAGGTAAACAAATGTTTGATGGTTGCACTTCCTTGAAAACGATGCACCTCTTATTAGAACTTCTACTTCCCAAAAAGTAATTATTCGTAGTAAAAAATATGTTTTGAGTTTATATGGTAAGGTTTGAAGGCATATTTAACCTTCATGCAACATTTTTTTGGTACAGGCCAAAAATCAAATCAACAGGCAAATTGAAATATCAGCTGTTTGGAATGAGAACAAACGAATTACAACGAATGTAAACACTTTCAAATGGCTCATTCAAAATGAGCCATTTTCGGCCAATGTAAACGTCGTATAACTGTGGTCTGTATTAAATACAGAATTATAATATAATACATATTAATAATATAATACATTATAAAAATATAATATATACTAAAAAAACACTCAAAACATGTTCTTATTTATACAACAAATTTTTTTCCCAACTAAAAACTGAAAAAATGCAAAAGAGCATTATTAATGTAGTTTAAGATATACATAAAAGTGTGAACATAAATTAATATATTTAATTTATAAATTTATAAATATGTTTATAAAGAGGTTTTCCGAACAGTAGTGAACTACAACAATAAAAACTTATTTTTTTATTATTTAAATTAATTGAATTTTTGGCTGACCATACAGCTGTTTCGAGTATTGCCAAATACCCATCGTCAGTGATCTTGGAAATAATTGATGTATTTAATTATTCGTAAATAATTATTATTGAGACTGCAAGTACCAGGAATCGAACTCGGGTTTATAAATTAACATAATATTATATAAATTAATATATATATATGCATTAATTTTTTAATATAATTTTTTTAAGGAACATATTAAAAATGTATACATTTTAAAATTTTTGATTATATTACACTTAAGTCTTAAAAGACTGACTATAGCATGTTTATCGAAACCAGCGAGCGAGAGTGAGAGAGAGAGCTTTTAATTAGGCACTCGCAACATACGTTGCATTAGGAAATGTCAAAAATCAAAGCTTTTCAGTCAAAACAAAAGAAAATTTCAGCTGCATTCGTTGTTATCATAAAATTAAATGAAAATAAAATATTTTAGCAAAACATATGCAGCAAATGATAATACAATTATATATATTCCATTTGGTGCTGTGTTGAATAAAATAAAAAACTAAATGGAAGATGTTTTGCAAAGTTGTTAGTATTTAAGCTGCCAATTAAGAACTCAAAGTCAACTAAGAGGTTTGCGGTTAACTACACGACCCACCGCCCACAGTGCACCCTTGGAGTATAATAAAAATGGGAAAAAAAGTTATTAATAATTAAAAACAAAATTAAAAGAGTGGCAACTAAGAGCAGCGCTACACAGCTAATTGCCTGTGTGCGCCAATTTGTTCCGCTCGATTTCTTGTCAACTGAGTGGGTGGCGGTGAACAAACAGAAGTGAAAAAAATTCAGTTGACCTGTGAAATTCGTTGAAGTGGAAATTGACATGGAATTTGCAGATCTGATTAAAACGCCAAAATTGGATGGTGTGTTCTTACATGACCATACGCATGCAACAGTCGAAGGTACGCTTTGTATAACCGGTCATCATTTGTTACTCAGTGCAAGGCAGGAAAACAGTCAAGAACTATGGGTGAGTCAAATAGTGTTCCTGTATACTTTTTGAATAATTTAATTAAAAAACGCCCCTCTATTTTATAGTTACTGCATAAAAATATCGACTGCGTTGAAAAAAAACCTTTTGTAGTACAAAACATAATAATAGGTGGCCTTATCACCTTAAAGTGCAAAGATTTACGCATTATTTCTTTGGAAATAAAATTTGCTAAAGAATATTACAATGTGGCGGCATCGCTGGAGGCACTCTCTGCATTGCACAACGCCGAAATGGAGTACCCTTTCTTCTATAGACCAATGTACGCGATATTAGAAGATGGTTATACTATGTTCAGGTAACTGTTGCTTTAGTCAGTAATTTCATTTTTAATTGCTTTTTTGTTTTTAATTTTCTTTTTTGATTTGCCTGGGTATAGACCGGAACTAGAGTTTGCCAAACTAATATCCGTCAACAATGCCAATAATACAAATGGCATTGACAACGGTGGCTGTGAGTGGCGTATTTCCAATGTCAACAAAGACTTCAGTGTTTGCAAAAGTTATGGCATGACACTGATTGTACCAAAATCAATTACCGACGAACAAATAGTGCAATCATCTATGTTCAGAGATGGCGGACGATTTCCTGTGCTTAGCTACAGACATGACAATGGGGTAAGTGTATACAATGCACTTGCGCCAATATTGATTTATGTAGGTTTGTGCATAAATGTTTTTAAATTATTGGTGTGCATAGCGTCAAAAGGAAAATTGCACTTTAAGGACTAAGGTAGCTTGTGCCAATAATTATTTCTGTTGGTTTATTGATATGGTAAAAAACGAGTAATGTAATGGTGTAAGAAATAATCTTTAACAGTTAAAGCAATAATAATATGTATATATAGGTTTGCATGCCAGACAACCTGTTGCTACTTGTTAGTCGTTTCCGGTAAATAATGCATAGATATTAATAAATAGATTAATGTATATGTGGTTCTAAATCAATTTGTGACGCCGTATATAAAATGATGACTGCAAGGTATGCGTACGAATTCAGTCGTCTGTATAGGGGACCAAGTGTCATTCACCTTTCCTATCAAAATCTCGAAATGTATGGCATTACTATATCCTATAACTCTATAAGAGCATATAATACTTAAGTAATAATCATTAAAGCAATAATATAATGTATTTAATAAATATATGAAATCAAAAATATAAGTCTTCTTTGAGCAGTGTATGCTGTGTTTAGTTTAATAGTCCTGTATCCTTTTATCCAAAGATTAAATATTCCTTAATTGCTAAATAAATTTTAAAGGAACACATAAAAGTAATGGATAGTATATTTGTTTAAGTAAATGCACTCGTCGAATTTATTCAATATTTTTGGGTCAATAATAATTAAAATAATTTAATTCTAAATTAGAGAGATATATGTTATGTGTGTATAATATATATTAATTTAAATAAATCTATTTACCAGATATTTTAAATATCTACGACTAGATTATTAGGCTGAATGTTTACCCAAAAATACTTGATATATCCGATACATGGAATTACTAAAATGACTATATGTTTTATATATATGTCTTTCTAAATTAAAAAAGATAATCAATATTATTATTTGCAGGCCACTCTGATGCGTAGTGCTCAACCAATTTCAATACAGGGAATAAAACGTTGTCGAGCTGATGAAGCAATTTTAAATGTAGTTTTAGGACGTAGTAAAAAAGGTTTTATAGTAGATACTTGGGGAAAAGGAAAATCAAATACCGAAACCGATCAACATTATTCACAATGGAAGAAGGTAAATCGAGCCATCGGTAATGTGTCTTCACCTTCAGCAATATTAGATAGTTTTGTTAAATTAATAGAAGGTATGTTATTCTGAAACTTTTGAAATTTATATATTTGCATATGCATATTTACTATAATGTATATTAAAATAATTTGAATGTATTATAATATTTTTATTTCCCATAACATAGCTTGTAATGATGTAAATTGCTCACCGGATAAATGGTTATCACGCCTTGAAAGTAGTGGTTGGTTAACTTTGGTGTTAAATTCATTGAATGCCGCTTGTGTTGTTGCACAATGTCTGGACCAAGAGGGTAGCCCTGTACTGGTACACGGTGCCAAAGGTTTTGATTCAACATTAATTGTAACATCATTAGTACAAATTATACTAAATCCTGACTGCCGTACTGTAAGAGGGTAAGTTCAATATTTTAAAATTATATTTGGTACATTTATGTTTTGTATAATGTACGAATATAATCACTTAGTTGACTCAGTCTAGCGTCCTCTGTGATTTTCGCACTGATGCCAGTTAGAAATATTAAAGTGTTATAGATTACCCACTATTTGACCTTTCTGTTGTTAAGAAAGTCACATTTTTCTGCGATTTGGTTTTTATCGTAACGTTTTGACTAATTTTTTAACTGAAACGATATCCTCTAACGGAACCTATCCGGCGCAGTCATTAGATCTTTGTTCGTTGTATTTCAATGTCATAGTACAATTCATGCTGCTCATTGTTTCATAAAGAACGTAGATGCAATCAAATATCTTGATAAAAATGTCCTCCTAAAAACTCCTAAGGACCATTTTAAGCAATATTTAACGTAATCTTTATTGGAAGAGACATTGAACAATTACAAAATACGAATACATGTGTTATGGCTCCAATAGCAGCCGGATGTGCGTCCTTGAGCCACTCGTTTAATTTAACTACCAAGTGCTGTTCAACATTTCCAGCATATCTTTGCGGATTACATTTTCATAAACAATAGAAGCTTTAAGAAATGAATTAGATAGCAGATATGTGAGAGGAATACCTATTGTGAGAGGAATAGCTATTAAAGAAATTAATACTTCAATCAAGACGGTGAAATTTTGCCAAGTCTGGTGTAATCCCTGTTGAGACTAGTAAGCAGCGCCTAAGTCGTAGTTGGCATGTGGCACCGCGACATAGACTCTGTAACCGCTGTACTCCATCGTCCATGATTCTGCGCTATGTATTAGGATGACGAAATAATCGATTTGCAGACAGTTTCTTTTGGAATTCTAACCCATGTATATTTTAATTCTTTCCATGTTATCCATTCTAAGATCTCTATACATCTGTACACTCTACATAAACTTGTACGATTGTTCCATAATGGAACAATCGTGTCTTAGTCCAGCTCTAAAGCTATTCATTTTTAAAAACGATCAAGTGTCATTTGCCCAATTTATAAGGGACCCAAAGAAAGGTTATTTGTCTGGATTACAATAAAAACTTGTTTGGAATTATAATCATCAAAAGAGGAATCAATTCTCAATTGCTTTGCATAGTAATTAGTTTTAGTAACATTTAACATAAACACAGGCACATGTATTTATAAAACATATCTATTTTGTCAATATTGGAGAATTTACTTTTTTTTTATTTCAGCCTGCAAGCACTAATAGAACGTGAATGGATACAAGCTGGTCATCCGTTTGCTTCAAGACATCGGTATTCCTGCTACACACCACAGCAGAATCGACCTAAAAATTCTGGTGCTACATTTACGCTTTTCCTAGACTGCATCTATCAATTGTACATGCAGTTTCCATGCAGTTTTGAGTTCAGTACGCAAATGTTAATACTGCTCTTCGAACATAGTTACTTCTCACAATATGGAACATTTC